ATGATGAACTCTTGTTGACTGATTCTGGAATAGATATTTTCAAATAGACAACATATGGTGTTTAGTTTGTAAAATCGTGCGGTTAAAAGAAAACAATTGCTTAAATTTCTAAAAACGTTTAGGGGAAGAAATGACTTAAAATATAAAAAAAATGGGAAATAAAACTTTTAGAAATGTGTATATATGTATTTATATATTTGTGACATTATTATTTAATATTTAAGTGTCTTTTAAAGACATTTATTTAAATTTTAAAGACATATTTACATTTATTTAAATTTGTGCCATCGAGAATATTATCTACCATTAATGTATCAATTACAGAATACTCTGTTTCTGACTCAGAATTATCTTTTATCTCATCAACTCTCTTTTTATTATTATTAGAACCCCTATTAAAGTTTTTATTACTCACATTTTGTTTCTTAAATTTACACCCTACAGCGAAATGATTGTGCTTACCACAGTTTACACACACTTTACCATAAGCTGGACACATCTTTTTCCCATGTCTCTGACCACATTTCAAGCACTTGTAGGTTTCCTCATTTTCTGTTGTTGTTCTTTTTCTGTTGTATTACTTTTTTCCTGTCCTCTATTAAAATTCGGTTTCTTTATGGCTCCAGTCTTCTTAAACATAAGTGTATCTACTTCCTTTTCACTCCTAATTTCCTTTACTTGAAATGAACTTGCTTCAGCAGCTCTACAATGCTCCTCAGCTGTTTTTAATGTTAGGTTGCTTTGCCTTAACAATCTCTCTTGCAATGACAAGTCTTTTATGCCACTCACAATTTTATCTCGTATAAGTGAGTCTTCTAATGCCTCAAAGTTACAAGTCGAAGCTAGCATTTTTACATCTGTGATAAAATGGTCAAAGGATTCTCCCTGTTGTTGTACACGTGTGAAAAATTTGTATCTGTCATATGTTTCATTCCGTAACACCTTACAGTGGTTTTTAAACGCATCTATCACTTTCTTGTAGTTCTTCATATCGGTATCTGATAACTTAAAAGTTTGGACTTTCTTCTGTGCTTCTTCACCTGCTAGATTCAGTAATATAGCTACCTTTGTTTCATCATCCTTCGCATCTAACCCAGTGGCTTTTAAATAAAAATTTAGACTTCTTAAGAAATTGTCCAAATGAATATGTACATTTCTATCAAACACCAGGCTTCTTGGTGGTTTGAAGGTACCCTCCATTGCCATTTTTACTTATTATCTTATTAAACACTTCTTATAAACGAGAAACCACGTTGTTTCTTCTTAACCTTGCCTTTCCTGGCCCCTTTTTTACGTTTTTATTTTAGTGCTTACAACTTACAGCACCCACAACACATTAAAATCCTGACACCATGTTTCATATTGTTAATGACAAGGTGTTGTGAATTTAGTATTTAGTTTATTAACATAAAAGTTACATTAAATAATTATTAATACATTTTAGCGCGAGAGCGTTCTTCTTCATACTTCTCAACTTCACATAACCTAACCTAAGCTAACTTCATTACATTCAATTAGGGATGGACTACAGTGTCGATACAACTTAAAGTTATTAGCACATACATATGTGATAATGATGGTGATGACATACTGATTAATCTACTGTTTTTTATTTATCTCCATTATATTTTTTTATCTGTAAATAGAACAATTATATTTCACTTAATAAAGATCATGAAAATGACAACAAAAATCAAGTCTTTCTTTGATTTAAATGATTTTAATAACTTAAGTCATTTGATTTTAAGTCATTTTTCGAAAGCTGACTTAAGGCTTAAAATTTTAATCTTTGTCAAACTGATTTATTTCCAGTTGTCTTGACCCACTTCGCTTTGCCTCGACCTACTTTCGATTCTTAAAAGCATCTGAAAACTACTCGTAAGGAGAGCGAGGGGGGATTTTTTTAGCGTTTTTTGTCGCCTCGTTCAATTTTGTTTTATTTTGAACTATTTCCAAAACGTGGCGGTATCTGTTCCGAGGCAAAGGTTTTTTTTCTCATAAATATCAGTAAAATAAGTAAACCTGAACGTTCCAAAAATAGCAGTTTTTACGATGATATTTCGTTAATTATATCTCGTTTTATGTTATATTGATATATATTCCACATTCCACAGAATTAATATTTCAACACGCGTTTATTATAATGTATAGTAGATATTTAGGACCAAAACTTTTCACTTAAACTGCAGAAATAAAATTACAATATTTTTATGATTTAATTTTATTATAATGAATTAGTATATAAAACTGTATATGATATGTTTGTTTACGGCCTTAATTGATTAATATAAGAGTAGTATTGCTTTATGAGTAATACTGGTATTCAATCATGTACCTACTCATCATGATGATGAGTATTGCTTGATGAGTAATACTGGTAACATTATATCAATATATTTTATCGCTTGAGAAAATTATTATTTGACTAGATGTCAACAAAAGTATGGTCTACGGACATTATTTAAAAGCAATGTTATTTTATTGTTCTTAAGAGAAATCTGCAAACTATATTTTTATTAGCATTAGCAAACCCAGCATGGTTTCATATACATCCATTCAACTAGTATTGATTATGCAGGGATTTAGACAATTAAAACTAGAAAAACAAAACCAAATTAGTAAACTAAACTTTGCTACAGACTACAGTTTAAATGCTCATAAAGCAATACTTCATTACTCATAAAGCAATACTACTCTTATATTAATCAATTAAGGCCGTAAACAAACATATCATATACAGTTTTATATACTAATTCATTATAATAAAATTAAATCATAAAAATATTGTAATTTTATTTCTGCAGTTTAAGTGAAAAGTTTTGGTCCTAAATATCTACTATACATTATAATAAACGCGTGTTGAAATATTAATTCTGTGGAATGTGGAATATAACTCTTACTAGAAATAATAAATAATTAGACGATATTTTAAATAATTTTGTATACCTATATTTTATTCCATGAAGCGCAATACCGTGGATTATAAGCCGATAAATGGTAGACAGTAGGTAGTTAGTCACTGTTTTATTTTTTTACTATATTGTAATTAATATTAGACAATATTTAAAACTAAACATTCTTGTGTAAACTTCGAAAATTCGAAGAGGACTATAAGACTTAAGACTTTGACTTAAATCATTCTTCAAAAACTAATAATTTGAATGTCATATTCAATTTGACTTACTACTTAAATCATTTTGATTTTAGAAATGACTTAAGACAAAGTCTTTTTAAAACTGACTTGTTGCAGTTCTGTATGGCGTGATAAATAATGAATATTACACCATCCTTCCTTTTTCAGACACTTATTTCTTTGCAAATCATCTACATGAAATTATCTCTATATATAAACATTTCCATATAAATCCCTTCCCATTCATTTTATTGAATTACACTAATTTTCAATCCCTGCTAACAAATCCTGACATCAAACATACATCCTCACTCATATAATTTAAATGAAATGATCAATAGAACTAAATTTGATATGGGCAGATGTATCTGATATTTTTTTCTCGGGCTTTTTCATCAAAAAAATATATTTTGCCAATTATTTACAAAAAATATATATAGACATAAAAATACGAATCTGTAGATATATCGGTAAAAATGTTTTACATAAAACAGAAACAAAATACAAGCCAGCATTAAAAAAAACGATTATTTTTATAGATAAAAGCTTTTTTGCATTAAAAAAAGAGAGGGATGAAATAAATCGTTCAGTGGAAATGGACAATTATTTTTGTTTTTAAATTATGGGAAAACGTCAGACTCTAATCCATTTTAATACTTTCCTTGATTAGATTTTTTTTTGTGTAAAAAAGATAAACAAATTAAAACAACTTTATAAAAAAACTATAAGCGATGCCAATTAAACTTTTAGTTGCGTAATCGAGGGCGCGATTTTTAAATTCATTGTTGCCAACCATGGAATATTCGGCGCCGGGCTGACTAACTGCAATTTAAATTTCCCGCTGGGGATTCAGGTGGTAGCTCTGCTGTAAAAATGTCAAGTTGCCAAATTTATTTTCTGACATTGTCATTCGTTTTGATACTTTAGTTTTGTATTACGAGTTTTTCGTTTAAATGAATTGTGTTTTGATACTTTAAGCTTAAACACATTGTTCTTTTTAGAACCTCTTTTAGTGCGAAGTGTAGAAGATAGCTTAATAGCCGTTGCAAAAAACTCATCGCAATCTTATATTAGAATGTTTTGAACAAGAAAGCGGTAGTAATGACCCTTTATGTCCCTTAAGTGCTGTTAAAGAGGTGAGTTTTGTTGATGTAAATAATAACTGTTTATACATATGTATATTTATAATTAATTTATTTTTGCTTCCTAAAATATTTTGATTAAAAGAAAATATGTAAAAGTGGGCAACGCTGTGCCCGTCAAGCTTAATCACGTGACTAAAAGTGTATTTGGTACTTTCATTTGGTATCAGAGTAAGTAAATCGCCGAGTAGCGACAGAAACCGTCGGCTCTTTTGATGTGGTGGGACCAAATTTTCTTTCTCTCTCTTTTGACATGTTTGACAGATAGACTACGTATTTAACTGCTCAACTTATGAAGTGGTCCTATAAACATGGTATACACTGCTCATAATTTGAAGTGGAATTAATTATAAAGTTTTTTACATATTTTTTTTGTCTTGTTTTGTCCTTATTTATAAATTTGAATGTATAAACTATGTTACAGCAAATAAATAATTAAAAAAACGATTCGTTGCCTGAGGTATACTTGAAATAAAGTCTATAGAGATATTTGATAAATGGCAACCGTGGCAACTTCGCATTTTCATATGACAGATAACCTACTTATGTCGCGCAGCCGCAAAGAAAATTGAAAACGGGACTGTCGCTACTCGGCGGTTTACCTACTCTGTTGATATGATCTATACATATTTATTCATCACAATGAAAACAAAAGATGATGATGATAATGATGTTTATGAAATGATTCAGTTTCAAATTATACTATACAAATTTAAATTACTTACATTCTAGTTCCGATTCGTCTATACCATAATACACACCATATGTCAGATTCATCCCTTCAGTACCTCTATCGTCACCCCAAACTAGCTTGACAGCATTGCCAATTCCTGGAGGTACATAAATGGATAAAATGTCAACGCCCATTGGTCCCATGGGTCTAGTCGTCGTCTGAACCATCGTAGTAATGGACTCATCTGTGTTTTGAGATATTACTACCACGAAAAGTATCTAGAAACAAACAAAGTGGAAGAAATTGTCTTCTTTTAATGACTCAGGATGTTTATTGATACTAATATAATTTCGGACTTTTAATGTCTCTATTTATTTTAACTTATATAACATTTCGGTCAGATATATCACTGATCTTTATCAAGTCTAAAATAATCTAAACCCTAAAACTATTAAACTTATTTACTAGAACCAGACATTCACCCGTATTGGAGCTGGGTGCAGTCAAGAGAAAGTACGCGTCTAGTTTTAAAACACCCACCGGGACGCCCAGTTCTTTAGCACCTGACAGTGCAGTACAGTGCAGTGCAGTTTGTGCAGTTTCAATTGTATTACTGCCAGTCACACACATAGTATATCTTGCATTCTGTCGCACACACACGCAGTTTTATGCACAGTCACAGTTTTGTCTACAATGAACTCAGTGACGCAGCTACTAATAATTTCAGCAATTTTTTTACAAGTGTAAATGATCTGATATACAGCGTGATTCACGGCCATGGTATATTAGACGTTCGTGGAGAAACGGTTATAGAATTTTTTTAAAAGGTTCGAGGTTAAGGAAAGGAGGCATATTCGATCGGTCTAAATCAACCGATTGGATATCAAACACAGGCCTGGATTAAGGGGGGGGCTATGGGGGCTATAGCCCCAGGCCCCGTCATTGAGAGGGGCCCCCAAATTAGAAGAATTTAAAATCGAGATTCATAGAGTTAAATCGAGATTAGTTAAATGAAAATGTACATATATTACGAAAAATACCGATTTGTAACAAAAACCGATTTTTCGTCACATATTGTTATAAATCTTCAATTTATTATAAAAGTAACTAAAACTGTATTTTAAAAACAATAAAACATAAAATCCGGCCTGGAACACCTGCAACAGTGCAACAGAAATATATTTAGTCTTATTAAATATATTGCAACAGCCAACTTGTTATTCTCATAAAATCAAAAACAGACTCTTTTTCTTTTATTTTTTGGGCGGCAAAACACTCTCCCAAAAAAATATCAAGATTGCTGCATAGACAATGACTTGTTCTTCTTTTTAAATTTTTCTGGATGGATGGATTACCGTAAGCCGAAAGCGCTAGGGGAATTACCCAGATTAGATTCCTCTTTTTTATTCTATTTGATTAGTTATTTTTGCATAGCGCATCTATGAAGTATGTGATTGCCAATAATAGATTTAAGAAAAGAAGAACAATAATACGTTTTTGAATTGTGTAGTGTATACCAGTATTTTAAAAAATGTCATGTAGAAAATATCTTATCTGCTAAACGTAAGGTAGGAATCAGTTTTAGTCTTATTACGCATTTACTGGATATGATCATTTATATAATAACTTTGGTATTAACAATTCAATTTACAATAACTTTCTTAAGTTTCTTCTTTTAAAAATAAGCGCATTAATATATAATAGGTACCTACTTTCTCTGGGCCGCTTACAAAAGATAAAAAGACAAACGAATTGAAAAACTAAAAAGTCTCGCGTCATAAAGGCCATAAAATACTATTCCTTTTTTAAAAATAAACTTTATGAAAAATGAAAAAGAATTCCCGTATGCTCATAAAATACAAAAAATTCGAGAACTACTCCAATTTTGAAAATTGCTAAACAATACTCGTATTAATGAGAGATATTGATGTTTTAAGAGTTTTAAGCCTTATTTTAAGCAACATTTTTCAATAATATACAGTGTGTTCCAAAACTATTATGTCAAAATGTAAGGATTGGTAGATCTCGCCAAAATATTTTGAAATGGGATACTAATGGTCGGAAGAGCGTCGTTTTCAAAATAGAAGGTGTTAAACTTTTAAGAAAAAATCTATACAGTGCCCACCGAAAACTTTCCACCCCGGGTTTCTTGCTTGTAAATAAATAATTCGAAAAATGCTCGGACACGTCGATTTTGTTTTTCAGGGAGACTTATTTTTTTGGTATTTGCACCCTTTTTGCTTGCACCCCTTTGACGGAGTAGCTATCACCCTTAAAATTTTAAATGGAATAGAGGGTCGAGTGATACCTTGTTTTAAAGGTCTTTTGAGTCTTTTTATATCTGTAGAGTTTGAAGTCTCTATTGCAATTCGCGTTGAATGGTACGCCACTACTTTTTAAATAAAATTAGTATTATTTTTGAAATCCCCATTCAATTTACAACATATTTTATTTCTTGACTTTTTGTGTCCGACGCACCGTTTTCGCGTAAAAAAATAAAAACCATTTTCATGCATGACCAAATCGCTAAAATGTTATCATAAATTTTAATGGCAAAATTTGTAAAACGGCAAATTTAAGTTTAAAAAGATTTTTTATTTTCCAAAAACTTCTTTCTATGAACATAGTACGAACTAAAATGCCCAAAAACCTAAATTGTCGTTTTTCAAGTTTTACCATTAAAATTTACATTACCATTTTAGCGATTTGGCCATGTATGAAAATGCCGAAAATGGTTTTTATTTTTTTAAGCGAAAACGGTGCAATAATATTCAATTCAATAATATTTTGTTTAAGTACCGTAGGGTGGTATACAGTGGTGTAATAGATATTAAAAAAGATCGATTTTTTTTCTTAAAAGTTTAACACCCTGTATTTTGAAAACGACGCATTTCCGACCATCAGTTTTGGCGAGATCTACCTACCTTTAGATTTTGATACAATAGTTTCGGAACACCCTGTATTTTTAAATCTACGAAAACTTAGGGATATTTTAAATTAATTTCAGATTCAAGAAGAAAAACTAAGAAAACTTTAAAATTGACTAAAGTAACAGACTTTTTTAGTATTTGCGAAACCCCTTTAACGTCAAATTCTGAGTTGAATAAAAATCAAGATCATGAACAACTGCCTTCCTGTTCAACTTCAAGCAATATTAGTTTAAGTGAAAATAACAGCAATGAGGAAAAAATAATCCGACCTGGGGGCCCCAAGGGCCTATAGCCCCGGTCCCCCTAGGACCTTAATCCGGCACTGATCAAACAGAAAGATCAAAAAATCAAAGCAAACCTTTGAAGGAGGGTAAAAGGACAATAACTCACAATCTTTAAGTTGTTTAATTTAAAAAATTTTAATGCTTAAAAAAGCAAGGGGGGTGACATGTTTCCGGAATTTAAAATATTCCCATCTTCAGGCCCAAAGCTAAAAACAATTACAGAGGTCAAATTTAAAATACAATCACAAACAAGTTAAAAAGTCAAAATTTTTTTTTGCTTCTGAGTGGTTGTACTTCCTAAGTGACTTTTGTGTGAGTATGCTTTTATTTTAAAGAACACAAGTTTAATTAAATTAAAATAAAAAATTATTCTTCTACATATATAAATTAAAATAAATATTAAATTTCTTAAAATTAAACTAAAGTAAATATTAATTTTTTACAATAAATAAATTTGAAATATAAATTAAAATTCAACATATACTAATTAAAAAATAAAAAATAAACATAATTCTTAACTGGTTCTTAACTAACATAACTAAAAAAATTATCCTACAAAATTGAATATCAGCATATACAGATTGAAGTAATTTACTCTCAACTTACATTACTAATACAAAAAATATATATATAAAAAATATTTAAAAAAACATATCACTAAAAATAAATTTAACTATTGCTTAAGTACCTATTTTTCTTTGAATTGTGCATTGAGGTCTGATTTTATTATTACCTTCTTTTTTCTTTCAATTTATCTAATTAAGGTGGATTATACGGCTCCCCTCACCTTATGATTTTAGTCTAGTTGTTTTTAATTTTTCAAATTTAACATACCATATTGTTATCTGTGATTGCTTACCAACGATATATCATGTTCCTATAATACCTAAACTTTCTGGTTTCTTCAGTAAAACCATTTAAAAGATAATAGTTCTATTATAGTTGTGTCGTTTAAAGAAAATCGTTACCATGACAAATATTCAAACTTTATAAGCATCAACTACAGTTTACGCGCTAAATTTGTAAAATTGTCATGGTAACGAAATTTTTGAAATGAGACTATAAAAATAAAATTATTAATTTTTAAATAGCTCTACTTGAAAACCGGAAGGTTTGGTTAGAAACATGATATATCGTTGAAAAGATATTTTATTATTTTTTGACTTTTTAAATGATATACTGTATGATCCAATGGGTTGGGACTGATGATCCAATGGGTTGATTTTAGACAATTCGAAATTCCACCTTTTAAAATGTTCAATTCGTGATTTTAAAGATGTTTATTCAAGATTAATTATCAATTTTACATATGTTTTATTTATTATCTCAAAAAATGTTAGAGAGAGGTATAGGAAAGTATAGTAGAAAAATTATGAGATATGAAAGTAATTTCCAAAAATGTAATAATAAAAATATACCGGGTGTTCCATTTAAAATAACAAAGATGCTACCACTTTTCAAATGATGCGGCAACATTGTAACGCTGAAAATATTTTAGATAGATGGAGCAGATGTCTGTATGTAAAAATCCAAATTTTCAAAAAAGTTCTATCACCGGTTCTCCATAAACGTTTAACATGCCATATCGCCGTGAATCACCCTGTATAGTTCTGTCTTGTATTCTACCTGCTTGTGCAAAAAGTTTTTTTTTGTTCCTGTCACAGTACTGTTTATTTTTGTTTCCCAAAATGATAGGAAGCTTTTTTTTGTATTGTGAAAAATTGGAATAAAATCTCTTAAACTGTTTATTTACGTTCGACATTTTGGTTCTACTTAATAGTCTTAATATCGTAATTACTAGTAGTAGATTTGTATACCTTAAGATTTCCTTTATTTAATCTTCTTCTTACAGTCCGCTCACTTAGATACTTAATTCATTATAAATTCGAAAAGCTGGCAAACTGGCGTTTTTTTCGCTATAAACTTATATTAAATCGATCGTCTCCATAAAAAAAAAGAACCACCATATCAAGAAACAAGAATGTCTTTAAAGTTTTAACATTTGCCAATAATAATATAGTTTTTACTTTTACCAAGATACTTTCTTCCCGGTTTGAATATTAT